TTTTTTGAGGACTCGTTCTATTGTGGTTTTTTCAAAGTAAGATTGGACATGACACACAATTGGCTGGTTGATGGATGAGCCACACGATAGGGATGGATTTTTAAATTTAAAATAAATTATTTAAAATTATTTAGCACCTGGTGCATCTGTGTGCAGAGAAGCTCCCTCCTGCAGCAGGTCGAGCTCCAGTCTCAGCAGAGAAGTGGGCGTGGCCAAGAGCGCTGCAGGTGGCAGAGTGTAGCCTGAGATCGTGACATGCTGCGCTATTTTAGAGCATTTATTAAAATGAACTACTACTTACTGCTTTTACAACTTTGTATTCCTACTTTGCGGTTTTTCACTTATTGCAGGGGGCTGAGAATGGAACCCCCGCGATCAACGAGGGACACTGTATATCACATGACATACAGGGAATGGTTCTACTATTCTGTTAATAACTTTCTTTTTAGCAAATTAGCATTATCACTAACTTTGAAAATCTATAGCAGAATTAGCTTTTTGCTAAATTTAAATCTGGTAAATTCAAGGCTGCTAATTTTTAAAGACAGTTTTCCACATTAAATGGGGATTTACATGGAATGCTAATATGCAGAGCTAAGCGCCACCCGATGATGTCACCACCCTTGCAGTGCTTTTCCCCTCAGACCTATCACAAACAGTCTCTGACGCAGAGTGTCAGTTTACAGCCAATAACTGAGACTTTGGCATAAATGCCAAACCATACCAGAAAGGAAAATAATATGAAAACCCCATTTGCTAACTCAGAAACATCGTAAACTGTCAGAAAAATTGCACACATTATGCCTTCCCAGCATGCTTTGCAATACTTGCACTGTCTCTGGGACGTGTCCCTCTCACACATTTCTCTCATCTTTACTTTAATACGAACAGATTTATTACGGAGACAATACTGATGATGATGCACAGCAACTTTGTAGTTTGTAAAAGTCCGACACACATTGAATGCAGCACTCTGCTTTAGCACTGCAGAGTTCTGCTCGGCCTGAATATTATCTGAGGGCTCACATCTGAACGGGACATGGACACTTGTGATTGTCGAACTATTTTGAGTTGTGTTCACTCACAACGTTGTCACATTAGAGACAGTCTTACAGTGTCAGCGACAAGCTAGCGCTTCAGAGTTAGCTTCCTCTATTTTTAAAATTTGTTTAGTGGTTTAGTGTTAGCGATGCTAATTTTTACGTTAGCGAATTAGCACATATTAAAGCTAACTTTTTGGTTAGCTGTGTCCACTACTGCATATACGGATGTTATTTTTAATTCCCCCCTCTTTGCTTTGCAGAGGGGACAAAAAGGTGAAGCTCAAAGAATAAGCTGCTGACCTTTGTTTCGCATGTATTAGCATCACTGTTCCTGTAAATGTGTAAAGACTAGATAGAGCGAGACGAGACAGAAAAACATGGGGTTTTAATTTAAACTGCAAACCATCTGAACTTCCTGACTGAAACACACGGCACCAAGCCGCCATCTTGGAGCCTCTGATGGCTGCAGACTTTGAATTGATGGTGATAATTCTCTTTAATTTGTTCCAAATATTACAAGTTAGTCAAAAAACAACATTGGAAAAGCGTGTTCATTTCATGAAATGAAACACGACAACAAAAATATTCAAAGGAGTTTTTTCATGCATTGGTAAAAAGTTCAAATTATTTAAAAAATATCAGTTTGGGAAATTAATGTTGTTACTCAAAACAAAACAAGCACATTAAATGAAAATTTTAACAAATAAATTGCTGCTTTGACCGCAGTTCTGTGAGTAAAGTTTAAGAAGTTTCCCAAACTGCATGTGGGTATTTTTCGGTTTTTCTTCCTCTCTCCTCATTGGCTGCATGATTAATTCAAATTAATTTAGGTTCAGCCAATAGCTGCTCGCGACTGGAGCTGGTCAGCAGCGGCCCCTCCCTCCTATCCTCCCATTGGCTGATGATGTAGTGCCTGCGGCGGGTGGGAGGAGCTTAATTCAACCAATCAGGAATGCGCATCTGTTGCATTCATTCCGTCCTGCAGGCCTCGGAGCTGCAGGCTCGGCTCCATGCTGGAAACACTTCAGAACAAGTGTTTGTGCGCAGCTGCTGGTTGAAACAGTTTCAGCTGAGCCTGGACTGGCTGCTCGGAGCTCCTTTAGTCTTTTTTCAAATCTTAATAAAAATGTTAAAAATTCAATACTGGATGAGAACCAGAGCAAAAACATGAAGCAGGAGAGGGAAGGGAGGGAGGGTTAGTCTAGTTTCCTACGCCCTCCATCGGCAGTGACACCCCCCCCCACCCCCCACCCTCCCCGCCGCTGCGCTGCCTCCCCTCACATCGCCCCTGTGTCTGTCGGAGGACGGACAGACAGACGCAGCTCACCGTGTTTGATACCCGCAGGAGGGGAGGGATGCTCCCGTGATCTCCCCCTTGTTCCCCCCTCACCCGCCCCCGCACGCCACCTCCTCCTCCTCCGCCTCTCCATCACTTTCATTTGGGGACCTTATCGCGCGCGGCTGCTCTTCAGAAGCAGCTCGGCTGCTTTTTAGGCTCGTTTTGTTTTTCTGAGCACCTGGCTCGGTTTGGTTTCTTCTTTTCTTCAAGACACAGAAGAAGAAGAAACTCTGGGCTTTCATTCAGTGGATGTGTCTGGGAAAGAAGTGAGGATTTCTTTGGTGAGACGGACTGCGCGCGGAGCCTCCGGGGTCCGAGGTAAGAACCAGCTCAAATGAAATGCGTCTTGATGTGGATCAGCAGCACTCCAGCTCCTTTCTCCTCCGCTGTCTGACGTGTCTCTGGTGAAGCTTTAAGCGCAAACACGGACGCAGGACAAGCAGGAGTTTTGGTGCCCAGGTTACTGAGGAGGTTCTGGTTGGACCAGAACCTCCTCCTCCTCTCTGTTAGAACGTGTCTGCGTCTTGGTTCTGTTTGATAAACAACCTGTGCGCGTCAGAGATGGAGCTGGCTCTGATGTGGCACAAGTCCGGACTCTGTCCAGTTCACCAGACCGGACCGGATCATTGTAACACACTGTGTTTCTGCGTGTTTGTCAGCTTGCGTGGATGTGCGCGCGCGGTGCACCCTCTGCTCTCCCGGAGCGGAGCCGCGTAAAGGCGCAGCTGCTGACCTGGGGTCTGCTTTACTGAAGGACCTCAATAATAAAATAAATTTAAAAATAAATATAAATCCTCCACCACTTTGGAGCCCCCCCCCCCCCCCCCCCCCAAAAAAAAAAAAAAAAAAAATAAAAAAAAAAACCCCCCCCCAATTCCCCCCCCCCCCCCCCCCCCCCCAAAAAAAAAAAGAAAAAAAGTTTGAATCAACTTCTGCAGAGAGAATTAGTGTCATCATTTAAAACTCTTTAGAACCTGAACCAGAGCTGCGGGATCACCTGATCCCGACCTCGGGCTCAGTCCGGTCCAGAACCAGAACATCTTTTAACTCCTCCATAGATCTGCACGTGAACCCACTGGTGGGTCTAATGAGTGGAAAAGTGAAATATCTGTTTACAAACCTTTGCAGCTCCGCCGCGTTTTTCTGTGTGTGTGTGTGTGTGTGGGGGGGGGGGGGGGGGGTGGTCTATTAGCAAGTCTTTGTATTCTCTGCACAGAAGGACTGAAGCAATCATCTCTAGCTCTTTACTGTTTCCTTCACTGAAAATATCCCCACTCTGTTGCAACCCCCCCCCCCCCCCCCCACACACACACACACACACACCAACCCCCAGTCGAATAAAATACAAGAACAGCAAATGATTTTCTCAATGGCTCCCGGAAGACCAAAGTGTATGGAGCGAGGCAGAGAGTGCTGCTGAGTGTGTGTTGGTGTGTGTGTGTGTGTGTGGGGGGGGGGGGGGGGGGGGGGGTCCCCTCACCCCCAGGCCTGTCTGCTTTGCAGAGCTGTTTTCTTGCAGCACATTTAAAACAACAAAACCTTCAGATGGATCTCCATTCTTTTGTTGGCAGTGATGTTGAAGAGTCCCCCCCCCCCCCCCAAAAAAAAAAAAAATAAATAAATAAATAAATAACACACTTCCTCCTCCTGTGGTCACTTTTCAAACAAAGCTTGGTTCTGAAGTTTGAACCGAGCCTCTGGAGCAGAGAGCTCTGAGAGAAAGAAAAACGAGTCCTCTGTGCTCGCTTATTTCACAGAACAGTCCTGCATGCTCTCTCAACTCATGCTCTCTGAATTCATGCTCTCTCAACTCATGCTCTCTGAATTCATGCTCTCTCAACTCATGCTCTCTGAATTCATGCTCTCTGAATTCATGCTCTCTCAACTCATGCTCTCTCAACTCTTCTGTTTCTTTTGTTTGTTTTACTCAATTATCAACTAATTAAGTTCAATTTGTGGAAAACAGTCATGAATGAGTGACAATGTGAGCACATGAGGGGAAGAAGTAGGAGAGAGGAGGTGAGGAGAGGACAGGGCAGAGGAGCAAATGTGAGGTAGGATGGAGCGTGACTCCATCAGGATGTGAGGAGGATGAGGGCAGCGTGACTTCTATCTCTTCTGTCTGGTTCCCTTCGGCTTCTGTCGCAGCTAAATCCACAGCGAGGAGCTGTCTGTCTTCACTCCGAGATGTGAGGAGGAAAAGTGTCCTGCTGCAGGACGTGATCGTCTGCTCTCACAGTCTGCTATCTGTGCCCCACATCTTAGTGTTATTTAGGTTGGAGCCATGTGGAGGAACCTGGACGGCAGATGAAAGTGTTCTGCAGAGGCATCAGATGAGATTCAGGCGAGGAATCGTACAGAAATATCCGATTCGTTGCATTTCAGAGCTGCTTCCAGACCTGGCGAGGCAAAGTGCTCCTTAGAATCAGCAAAGGCCAAGAATCTATATTTTACTCTCTGATTTATTTTGAAGGTGAGCAGCACATCCTGATTAGGAATCAATTGGATTTAGACTTTGTATTTGTTTTTTTTTTGCGAGGATAAAAAACACCAGAATGCCTCAGATTCTTGTCCAGCTTTCAGTGAATAACTGCAAAAATCCACTAATTCATCTCATTCTTGCTTCACTTTTTGGTCCATTTGTCACATTTCTCAAAGTTTTATGATGATTTTGATGTTTGTGGGGGTTTCTTTTAACACATTTCGGAACAAATGAGTACATTTCTGAAAAGTAAACTTTAGAAACACGAGGAAACAGCAACAACCCGGTGTTTTAAAAGGCCTTTAAATGTTTAGAACGCTGCATTAAGAGAGACTTAATAATGATGCTTCCATGTTATCAGCCTGTCAGTATGAGGAGACGGAAAGCGATGATTTGAAGGTAGAGCAGCAGAGGAGCGACTGTGAGCAGCTTTAGAGCTGCTCCAGGTGACGACAGAGGGAGCTGTTGGGCTGTGCTGCAGCCGCCATGGCTCCTCTCTGCGTCTCCTTCCTCCATTCACCTCCAGTTCTTTCCCAATCTGCCTCTCAGAGGCCGGTCAGAGACATGGGGAGGCAGCCAGTGTCCCCGAGCAGACGGGGTTCAATCCAGTGGTGTAGTCGATGTGATACTTGGGTATATGGAGTATATCCACTGGAAAAGCTTGGGAATTTCAGTATACTCACTTAAAAGTGTCCATGTCATGTACCATTGACATGGACTCGTGTCCTTGTCAACACGTTTAGAGCACTTTAATGACACACTGAGTTGGTTCAACCTGTTTTTTGCATAATTAATATTTTTTTTGTATAATTACTACTTCTGTACTTAATACTTGAACATGTTTTACTTTGATACCGTTTTATAAATTCTGTGTTTTTAACACAAAGCCAACTGTTGTGCAAAGTTTGTTGTTCATTTATTCTAATAAAAGCATCAGAGAAAGTTTGAAATGTTCAATACGCTTAAAAAAATTTTTAAATAAATGAACGATTACATTGTACTAACCGATGTACTTTGGTTTCTAAGCGCGGTATACCCAGTACAAAATGTAGACTACACCACTGGTTCAAGTCCAAACACTCACACAGATCTGTCCGTCTCCCTGTCAGAAGGGGGGAGGAATTCTGCCGTTGAACTTTTTCTGTTTGTTTTCCCGTCGTCTCCCCAGCTCTGACTGAAAGAGTCTGTCTGCAGCTCCCCCCTCCCCTCACAACCATCTTTATCTAAACCATTTAAAGTCAGCAGAGACGGTATAAAATATCTCAGTGGGATTAGAGCGCTAATCCTCGGGTTCAACCAGATTAAATGACAGTCAGTAATTAGTATTTTTGACCTCTAATCCTTTCATTTTACCTCCTGTTGAAAAAAGAAACAGATTTAAAGAGGACAGGAGAGATTTTCTGTTCATGTGAAAGGCTGAGAAGATGCAGGTGGTTTGGTGTCGTTCCTGTCTGTGAAGTACTTTGTTTCGTTTGCCTCCAGCACCAGTTTATATCTCCTTCTTTTTTTAGTTGCTCATGTGGTTTCAATTATTCCTCAGGTCCCTGCGCCGGAGCTGCTCTCCTCTGTATGCTGCTAATGTTTCTGTTAGCTTCACGTCCGGGAACGAGTCCAACGTCCGAGAGCAGGGAAAGGACACGACGTTAACTGTTTGAGTTAGTGACGTGGAAAAACTGATTTTGAATCTGCAGGACAGAATAAACATGAAATTTAACTTTGAAATTACAGTGAAACATGCAGGTGGTCGTCACTGGGTCAGCACAGATCAAGACTCCACCACAGCTAACTGGCTTTAGCCGTAACATTTCCAGATTTACTGGTATTGAGTTACGTTTGGTGTGGCAGTAGCAGATAGTCATCCCTTACACTCAGTGCGTACACATCCTGCAGGATGAGTGCACAGGGCGTCATTTACAAGGTTTGACCTAAAAACATCACCTCCTCATCAGAAGAGGGTTTCATCTGAAACGCTGGCATTCCTTCAGAAACGCTTGGCCTTTAATTAGTTTGAAGAGGGAAACTGGAAATACCCTGCGTCCGTCTGTCTGGGTCGGCCATGTTGTGAGCATGATAACGTGAAAAATAAGTGAAGTACTGACTTGCTTCATCAAGTGAATGAAAGGTTTCTTTCAAAAACTGGGTTGCCACGTCAGAATCCAAGATATAACATATCTATATATCTATATATATAGATATATAGAGTGGATTCTGATGTTATCAGTCCATTAAAAGGACGTTATTAGTTGTTATCATCCCCTAAGTTAGTGGTCAGACTCTTCCCTCCTACCTCCTAGTAAGTGTAAAGTTACATTTTTATGTGTGATAATATGCGTCACTGCTCGCATGTAAAACCAGAAGTGTGTGTTAGTTAGCTTTATATAACCCTTTTCCTAATCCTAACCTTGCAGCTGACCCAGAGCAATGACCCTAAACCTAACCCCCAGACCCTTGACTCTTAACCTAACCACATGCCCCTATTATCAGCGCTAAGAACATACCTTTAAAACCTTCTAGGAGGTAAAGGAGGGGCAGTCTGAACGCTACATGTGTGGATGAAAAAAACTAATAACGGCCATTTAATAGATAACATCTGAAGCGGGTGGACTGGGGGGCTGAAGATTAGTCTATGGTGCCCTTGGACACCATTGGCCACCCCCTGGTTGTGCCTGGTGGTGGATCAATCTGCTCCCTGAACTCTGTCACTCTGCTCTACCTAGACAAGCAAAAAACAAAGTAAAGCACTTTTCTTCTTCTCCACTTGAATATCTTGCAGCACAAACACAAAGTTTACATGTTCCCTGTTCAGTTCCAGTCCAGAAAACTTGAAAACTTCAAA